TTAAAAAAAAAAAGATCCTTAATTCAATCACAACTGCAAATAAGGTCACCTTCACAGGTGCGAGGTGGACATACTGGGGGGGGAAGGGGACACCACTTATCCCACTACATGAACTGTATGTGCAGAATAAGTTCCTACAGGGCTGAATTTTTGGTTCAAAGGGTATGTGACTTAAACTTTTCTCAGTGAAGTTTTGATGTGCATTTCTTTTATTATGAAATTGAGGATCTGTTTGTATCTTTAAGAGCAACTTCTGTTTTCTTTCCTGTGACCTCTCAGTTCTTATCCTTTGATTATTTTTCTATTTGGTGGTTGATGTTTTTCTTGTTGATTTATAGGAGTTCTTTATTATTTTTAAAGATTTTATTTATTTATTTGAGAGAGAGAGCATGAGCAGGGAGGAGAGGGAGAAGCAGGCTCCCTGATGAGCAGGGAGCCCGATGCGGGGCTCGATCCCAGGACCCTGGGACTTATGACCTGAGCCGAAGGCAGATGCTTAACTGACTGAGCCACCCAGGTGCCCCCAGGAGCTCTTTATTTATTGGGTATAATAACCATTTATCTGTGTTAAGAGTTGCAAATAGTTTCTCATTTTGCTGTCATTCTTTTGTCTTTGCCACACAGAAATATATTTATGTAGTTGAAGTTATTAGTCCTTGCTTTTATGGCTTCTGGATTCAGTATCATAGTTTTAAACGTCCTCCCCATTCCAATGACTAAGTAATTTTCCCATGGTTTATCACACTAACTTTATGGCTTAATTTTGTACTTTTGAATCTTTGTTCAATCTGGAACTCATCCTGGTGTAAGATGTGAAGTGTGGCTTTGTTTTCTCCTCAGCAGCTATCCTGTTCTCCCAGCACCATATGCTAATTATTCCATCCTTTCTTCACAGAGTTGAGATGCCACTTTTTTTGTATAGTAAATTTTATATGTATTTGGAGCTGTTTCTGGACTTCCTATCCTATGCCATTAATATTTCTATACATTCATGTTCCAGGGTCATTCTGTTTTGTTTTGTGCTTTTAAACATATTTAGTAGGACTAGCTCCTCATACTTACTTTCCTTTTTTAATAATTTCCCTATTATTATCACTTATTTTTCCATATGAACTACCTTATCATCAGTTTGTCTATTTCTATATATATATACATATATAACATTTGCACATGTATTCTTATTGGGATTACATTACATTTAGAGATCAATTTAGGGAAAATTATATATATATGATATTGAGAATTCCTAACAAAGAACATGGTTTGCCTTGACATTTATTCTGATCTTTAATTTTGTGAGTGCAGGAATTGTAAATGTTTTTTTTTTCCATATAAATCTTACACATTTAAAAAAAGTTATTCTATATATTTATCTATTTGTTGCTATTGTGAATGCAGTCTTTTCCTCCATAATTCTTGACAGATGATGGTTTGTGTATATGAAACCTACTGATATCCATGTGTTATATTTGGAGCTGGCTATGCCAAGCTTATCTTGTTGTTGTATTTCTTTTTTCAGATTCTCTTAGATTTTCAATGTTTAGAATATTACGATCTACAAATGCAGATAATTTTACTGTTGTTTTCTAATTTTTACACCTCTCATTTATTTCTCTTATCTAATTACATTGCCTCAAGAACATGTTGAACTTCTTGACTTTGATGAAAATGCATCTAGTGCTCTATGACATTGTCCTGGCTTTTGGATTCAGACCGATATATTTTATCATGTTAAGGAATATCTGTCTTTTCTTAATCATTAAATGTTTTATGAAGGATGGTTGTTGAATATTATCCAATGGTTTTCATCATCTATGGAAATTATTATATTATCCATCTCCTAATATTGAACCATTCTCGCATTCCTAGAATAAACCCACTTGCTCATAGTATATTTTTTTAATGTGCTACAGGATTTTATTTGCTAATGTTTTATTTAGAGTTTCTGCATCAAAGTCATAAAGTGAGATTGGTCTCCAATTTTCTTTTTGTGTTTAATCTTCATTAGTTGTTGGTATCAATGTTATTCTTGCTTCATAAAAGAAATCTGAAGCTTCTCCCCACCTCCATTTCCCCTAAGTTCTGATACACTTTAAATAGCATTGAAATTATTTGCTCTTGAAGACTATATGGAATTAATTCCCCTTTGAAGGCATCTGGGTGTGGTGTTTTGTGGGAGTAAATCTTTGAAATTTTTCTTTTTTTTTTTTCTATAGTAATTGGTTCGTTTAGATTTTCTGTCTTCTCTGAGGTAAGTTTTGATAAGTTATATCTTCCTAGAAAATATCCACTTCTAGATCTTTAAATTTATTTGCTTAGGGTTGAGCAAAGTGGGTTTGTAGACTCATTGAGTTTCCTCTGTGTCTGATTATTTCTGCTTTAATACATTTTAGTTGGTGTAGTTGTGCTTTCTGCTACTTGTTTGTGATAATTTACCTGTTTTATTTTTTCAAGAAACATTCTCTTAGATATATTTATTGGTGCTATTACTCTTTCTTTTTTTTTAATAAATTAAATTCTTTTATTTAACTCATTTATTTTACTTTCCTAAGTTTACTCTGTTCTTCATTTATTCAACAAATACTTTATTGAGTGTTCACTCTATAGTTTGTTGTTTTATGAGTGACCAAAAACAATTGACAAAAATTATTTCATTCTTGTTTAATAATAGAAATATTTCAGGCTTGGGTTTTTCTTTGAGCACTATTTGAGCTGCATCCTGTAGGTTTTGATATGTAATATTTTAACATTGTTATTTTCTAGATATTTTGCAACTTTAGTTTGGAGTTCCTCTTTGTCCTAAAAATTTTAAAAGAGTACTTAAAAACTTCCAATTGTTAGGAACTATTATCTTCTGGTTATGTTATTCATTTTAGCTTTTTATTGCCTTGTGATTAGTGGCTGTTTTCTGAACTATTTCTTCTTTTGAGATTTTACTTAGATTTTATTTATTGTCTAATATATGGTCAATTTTGTGACGCATGGAAAGAAGAAGCACTCTCTTGTCTTTGAAGTACAGACTTT